CCTTGTAATCACGGTCGGCCTTGCCCTGGACCATGTCGTTGGCGGCCTCGCACAGCTCGCCGGTGGCCGAGGCCACGGCCTTGGCAGCCGAGACCAGACCATCGGACCAGGTGCCGTCGCTGTGGTACGGGGTACCAGCACGGACGGAAGTCTGGCGATCGTTGGCCACGATCTCACGCTGGGTGTGGGTGGCCGAGCGGACCAGGGCACTGGTGGCCATGGCAATGGCCTTGGCAGCCTCGACGATCTGCTCCTCGAAGGGGAGATCCTCGTTGGCGGCGCGCGGGCCCTCGGCCGGCTGCAGGGCGGCCAGCTTGCGAGCAGCGGCCTCGATGGCCGAAGCAGCGGCCAGGAGCTCGCGCTCGGCAATGACATTCGGGTCGTTCGGGTCCACATAGCCGGTGGGAACCATGTGCCCGGCGGCACCGACCACCAGGTTGATGGAGTCGGCCACCTGCTTGGCACTGTTCTGCAGCTTGCCACGCATGGCATTGGTGGTGACCTGGTCGCCGGAGCGCGAGGCCCCGAGCACGGCCTTCAGCGTGTCGAAGAGCGTCAGCACGGACTCCGCACCCTTGGCACAGGCATTGTGCATCTGGGCGCGCTTGTCCTCGGGCGCCTCGGCCGACACGGCCTTACCAGCGCGCAGCAGGTCATCGACAGCCACGCGAGCGGCGGTCGAAGCCTTGATCAGGTCATCCTGAGCCGCCGGGCCGGTGGCCGTGCTGGCCGACACAAGGGTCACCGCGGCCGCGGTGACAGCCTTGGCCGAGAGAACCACATCCTCCGGCAGGGCGGTACCCTGAACCGGGTCGTCAGAGCGCAGCTGGGCGATGGACGCGCGCACGGCATCCATCGAGGAGTCCAACGAGCGCAGGGCACGAGTCGACTCGTCGCCAACCAGCTTCACCGCGGAAATGAGGTTCTGGATGGTCTCGGTCATGCGCTTGGTGGAGGTACGCATGTTGGCGATGTCCTCCGGACGGCGGCTGGTCGCCCGGACCGAAGCCTCGATGTTGTCCTTCAGCTGCTGGGCCACCGCAATGCAAGCCTCCAGCAGCTGGGTCTGGGCCTTGACATCGGCCGAGGAAACCGCCGTGACGGCATTCTTGATGTGGTCGCGCAGGGTGGCCATCGAGTCGGCCGAATTGCCCGAAGCCTCGGCCAGGTGGTCCTGGGTCTGGGAAATGGACTCCAGCAGGGCCTTGACATTGCCGGCCAGCTCGCGAGTCACCCCGGCAATGGGCTCCTTGTAATGGCCGAAGGGCTGCGACTGGCCAATCGGGTCCAGAGTGCCGGAAGAGGCGAACATCAGCGTGGTGTCCAGATCGGCCAGGATGTCGTCGATGACGAAGAGCGCATGCTCGCAAGCCTGCACACCCTTGGACCCGGTCTTGACGGCGGCCACCAGGCGCGAGACATTGGTGGTGGCCTCGCGACTGGAGGTGCCGGCCTTGCTGCGGGCCTGCATGTCATTGGGGTTGGCCGCCACGAGCTTCGACGAATCCAGCAGGCGAATCATCGACCCACCAAGCAGACGAACGGCATCCAGGATGCTGGTCGACACGTCGGCCTCGTTGGTGGCCCCGGCCGCGGCGTGGGCCGTGTCCGCCAGCAGGTTGAAGCTGTGGGCGATGTCGGTGGCCAGGCGAGACACCTCGGCGGAGGTACGCGCACGAGCCAGCTCACCGAGCTGCTGCGCCAGCACACGAGTCCCGGCAATCACCTCGTCGGCCAGCTCGTTGTACGGCCGGCCGGCGTGGGCACCGCCAGCGGCCGACGGGCTGTCCGGGCTGCCGGCCGCAATCGGCACCGCCAGACGCTCCATGGCGCCGGACACGGTGGCGATGGAATCATTGATGATCTCGTAGTCACCACCGGAGCCGCCCTCCACGGTGCGGACCAGCTCCTTGCCGGCGTCCTGCAGACGAGCCAGCTGCTGGTCGACACGCATGTGCTGGGCAGTGGCGTCGGGATTGCCACCGGCCGCCTTGACCGGGTACAGCAGCGCGGCCACGGCCTCGCTGAAGTTCTTGGCCGCCTCCAGCAGACGGTCCTGGTAATCCTGGCCCAGGCCATTGACACTGGCCGCGGCGGCCGTGTCGATGGTGGCCGTGGCGAAGGGCTCGAAGTTCTCCGACAGGGTCTCCACCGCCTGGGCAAAGTGATGACCGGTCTTGGAGGAAGCAGCCACCAGCTCGGCCGAGCTGAGCACCGCGCGGTAGTTGTTCAGCAGCACCTGGCTCAACTGCGCCGAGTCGGTGGTCTTGGTCGGGTCGGTGGGCTGGAGCTCGCCGACGGCCGCATTCACCGAAGCCGCCTGGATCTCGGCCGAAGCCATGTTCACCTGGTCGATGGCCTCGTTGCACTCCAGCTGGCCCGGGGCCATCTGGGAAGCCTGGTTGACCAGGCGACGGAGCTGGTCGCCAACCGCCTTGGCCAGGTCGTTGAAGGCCTGCTGAGTGACATCGGTCGGGTCCAGGCACAGCTTCTTGATGGCCTCCACGGTGTCCTTGGAGGAGATGACAAAGTCCCGGCTGGAGTGGGTCAGCGGGGCCTGGGTGTTCTGCCCGGTGAGGGAAACCTTGGCCGGGGTGGCCGCGAACTCCGGCGAATAGGACAGCGTCTGCAGGGCCTGGACGGCCTCGACCAGCGGGCGAGCCGACGTCTCGACCGCCACACGGGCAGCCGGGTCGTGCTGGTGCGCGGTCAGGGACTTGATGTCGGCCACCAGGGCACCGGTGGCCGTGGCAATGGCCTTGGCCGAGCCGAGGAACTGCTGCTTGGCCTCCGGGTCGGAGGTGGCCACCGAGGCGGCCTTGCAGGCATTGCACAGGGCCGAGGTATGCTGGGCGATGGCCGTGGCGGCGGCCATGATGTCCGCACCGACGGTGGCCGGGTCGCGCAGGCGCCCGCAGGCATTCTGCACCTCCTTGACCGAGAGGGACACCTGCTCGGCGCTGATGACCTGGCGACGGGCCTCGGTCGAGCCGGGATCCGCCACACCGATCAGGTACAGGGCACGAACGGCCGCATCGACGACATCCAGCATGGAGTCACCCATCTTGGTGATGTGGGTGCCGACATCCGACTGGATGACACCGCCCCGGGAGGAGGCCGTCACCGCGGCGAAGGACTGCTGCAGGGCGGTCTGCGAGTCGGCCAGCTTACGCAGCGACTGGTGGTAGGTGTCCGAAGTGTCGGGAACCGTGGAGTTGACGGTGTCCACCTTGGCCACGGCATAATCCAGCTTCTGGATGACGGAGTTGGCCTCCTTGACACCCGGAGCGCCGGAAGCACCGAGGCTCAGCAGGTTGCTGATGGAGTCGGCCACGCCCTTGGCCGCCAGGTTCAGCAGGTTGGCCAGGTTGTTGCCGGAAGGATCGGCGCTGTAGGCCATGGACGACTGGAGCAGCGAGGAAACGCTGTTGAACACGTCGTTCATGTACTGGTCCAGCTCGGCGCGCACGGCCGGGTCCGAGGTCTGAGACTGCATGGCCGAACCGGCGGCAATCAGACTGGCAAAGGCCTGCTCCAGCTGCTGGGCAGCGGCCTGGAGCTGCTGCGGCGAGCTGCGCGCCGCACCGACCAGAGCCGACGCCGCGACATTCAGAGCACCGGCCGAGGCGGTCAGGCGCGACTGGGCCGTCATGAAGGTGTCGCCGGCCACCGGGGCCGGGGTGGCACCGGAGAAGCCCTGCAGCTGGTCGCGCATGCTGGCGATCGAGCGGTTGATCTCACGCTGGCCGGGCAGGGCCTCGATCAGGGCGGTCATGCAGCGGTTGACAGCGGCCGCATGCTGGGCCAGATCGCGCTGGGCCTCCGGGTCGCCCTTGCTCCCGACACAGGTCTTGGACGAGCGGATGAGGGCCTCGGACTGGGCAAGGAGCTCGCGAGCGGCCTCCAGCAAGGCACGACCATCATCACGGTCGGTGCAGCAGGCGGCCACACCGGTCACGGCGTTGGCCAGCGACTGCAGGGCGGCGGCCGAATCACGAGCCGACACACCGGTGTAGCTCTCGTGGCCCTGGGCCGCGGCCGAGCACAGCTGCGCCAGGGAGGTGCCGATGGCCTTGGTGTTGGCAACGGCATCCAGCTCGCACAGCTCCAGCGACTGGTCCGGACCCGGCTGCAGGGTCCCAGCGGCGTGGCTCTCCTGGGCCTGCTTGATGAGACCATGCGAGGCGCGCACCGAATCGATGGCCGAATCCAGCTCCAGCGAGCCGGACAGCGACTCGGCCATGTCGATGGCCTCCTTCAGGCGGCGCAGCGAGTCGCCCGCCGTGCGGGAGATGTTCAGCAGCCGGGCCTGGGCCGCCTGGTCACCGACCGTCTGCGAGGCAGCACGCGCGGCGGCCAGCGACGAGGCGCCCGGAGCCAGCATGGCCTTGGAGGCAGCCAGCAGCCGCAGCTGCGAGCTCGGGTCATCCTGGTTGTCACTGAACTCGCGAATGGCCAGGGCCAGGTTGCCAGTGCGATCGGCCACATTCTTGGAGGCATTGATCAACTGCATCTGGGAAGCCTGGTTGCGGTTGTACGGCGAGCAGGCCTTGGCCGCGCTGATCAGCTGGGTCAGCGTGGCGGCATTGGACTTGGCCGCGCCCAGCAGGCGAACAAAGGCCTTGCGGTGGGACTGGTCCAGGGTCAGGGCAGCACGAGTGGCGGCCTGGAGGTTGCGCGAGGCGGCCAGGAGATTCTCGCGAATGCGCGGGTCATTCGGGTTACGAGCAGCCTCACGGCCGACCTCCACCAGGGCATGGGTCAGCCCGGCCAGGTTGCGAGCGGCATCCAGCAGGCGATCACGCTCGGCCGGGTCATTGGACTCCATGGCCTGCTGCTTGAGCAGGTTGCTCAGCTTCGACGAAGCACCAACCAGGGTCTTGATGGAGGAAATCATGCGCACGGAATCCGACGGATTGTCGATGATGGTCTGGATGTTGCTGATGATGATCTCGGCCTGGCGCTCCAGCTCGGACATCTCCTCGGCATCCTGGCCACCATGGCGAGCGCACTCGATCAGACGCTTGAGGGCATCGCGAATGCGGTCGGCCATGCCGGCCAGCTGGTCATTGGCGTGGCCATCATTGCAAGCCTGGCGAGCGCGGCTGACCAGGGCATTGACACACTTCTCCACCTGATCGGCATTGGTGATGAGCTCCTGCTGGCAGAGCTGCGTGTGGATGGACGGGGCCACGATGCTGGTGGTGACGGCCAGCTGCGAGGCCGACAGGACCGAATCACGGATGGCCTGGGCCACGGCCGCGCGATCGGTCGGGTTCTCGCACTTGGTGGTGATGTTCTTGGAAGAGTGCTGGGCAGCCTCGGAGACGGCCAGGGCCACGGCCTTGGCCAGCTCATTCAGCAGCGACTGCGCGCTGGGCGAGACATCCTGCTCGCCCATGGCCTGGAGCATGGCCGAGGCGGCGGCCGACACGGCGCGCGCCTCGCCCAGCATGTCCTGGCGCTTCTCGCCGGTCAGCATGACCGGCTGCATGGCGGTGAAGAAGCGCTGAGTGGCATCGGACAGCTGGCGGCAAGCGTCCAGCAGGGCCTCACTGGCATTCGGGTCATCCAGCAGGGCGGCCACCATCTTGGAGCCACTGGTCAGGACCGTCAGGTTGGACGAGATGGACCCGACGCAGGTGCCCACCTGGGGATAGTCGATCTTGTTGACATCGACATTGGTCAGGGTGCAGATGGAAGCCGTGGAGGCCAGGTGCGCGGCCAGCTGCGAGCTGACCTCCTGGCGGTTCTGGTCCAGAGCATGGCGGCGCCACTGCAGGGCGGCCGGATCGCTGCCGGTGGCCGGCAGGACATTGGTGATGCTGAGGTTGGACTGGGCGGCATTGATGGAGGCGAAGCCACTCATGATGGTCTGGAAGAGGGCCTTCTGCGCGTCGGTCATATTCTCGAGGGACATCTGGCCGCCGGCCTGGGCACCGGCACGACCCCCGGCCAGAGTGCCGGCCGAAGAGGACCCCATCATCTGGGCCATGCTGCCGGAGGAGCTGCTGGAGCTGCCGGCACCACCGACGACGCCGGGCTGCGACACATTGACCTCCACCTGGAGGCCCAGCTGGCCGGTGACCATGGTGATGGCGGTGGCCTTGCTGGCGGGGATGGTCTCGTCACTGATGGCCACCTCGGCCTCATCATCGTCGAACTGGCGCTCGGCCTCCTTCTTCTTCTTCTTGACAATGATATCAATGTAACCGGAAATCAGCTGCGAAATGGCATCACCCTCCTGGGTCTGGAAGATGAGGTAGCTGTCGGCGTAGTCACCGAAATCCATGGTGAAGTGGGTGGGGGTGGCGGCCCAGCGACGCAGGGTGGTCAGGGGGAAGTTGTCGCGCAGGGCCTTGGTCTCGCCGTCGAAGCGCATCACCGAATCACGGGTGACACCGAGCAGGACGTCGATGAGCTTGTTGCGGCGGGGGAGCTTCTCCTGCGGGCGTGAACCGCAAGATCCGGGGAGGGAGGGGGAGGGGGGAGGGGGTGAGTCACTGCTGACAACAGATGCACACAGTCGGGCAGGTGCATCATGTGCACACATCACTGTGGCAGGGAGAGAAACACCGGCTATGGGGGGGGGGGGGGGGGGGGGGGGGGGAGGGAGCAATCAAAAGACGAACCTTGACATGGAAGAAGGTGATACCGTAGGTCTTGAGGGAGCGGCACAGCTGAATGTAGCGGAACTTGGCATTCTCGGCAGTCATGCCCTGGATCTTGCGGTGCTCCATGTAGACCTTCTTCTCGACGTCCTTCTTGCCGACGTACTCGTCCGGCAGGTAGTTCTTCCACTCGATGAAGCCGCTCTTGGTGTGCTTGTCGGGCTCATGGTTGCCGGTGAGAATCTGGCACTGCAGGGCAGCGAACTGGGCCGCCTCGTCCTGGGTGCAGGGGTTGACACCGCGGATGATGGACTGCTGGGCCTGGTTGTAGACGAGGTTCAGCTGAACCGGGTCATTGCGGTCGATGTTCTGATCGGAGAAGAAGAACTTCTTGCGGAAGATCAGAACCTCCGACTCGTCGACATCCTGCTCCTTGAGGGTCTTGCTGGGGATCAGCCAAGCTGCGCGAGGCACGGGGATGATTCGGCGAGGGAGGGAGGGGCGGGGGGGGGGGGAACAGAGAGAGGGTGAGTCGGAGGGCAAACCCGGACCGCGGTCAGAGGGAGCAGGCAAGGGAGCCGAAGGACAGCCCGCCCAGAGGACGCACCATCACCCGGAGGGGAGAGACCCTTGCGGCGGGCCTCGACGGCCGCCTCGCGGCTCTTGGCCTCGAGCTTCTCCGTGGTGAAGGAGTACTCGTCGGGGTTGAGGATGTTGAGCTTCTCGCAGGCGAAGGCCGTCAGCTGCTCGATGGTGAGCGAGTCATCGACCAGCCAGGTCTTCTCGGACTCATCGGCCAGGCGGACCTTCTGCGGGCGATGCTTCTTCCGGTACTCGATGGTAGCCTGGGGAGCGGGAAGATGGCGCACACGTGGAGGGACGCATGGGTGCGCGGTGACCCGGAGAAAGGGGAGGGAGCGAAGGCGGAACAAGACCACCGGTTAGACTCGCTGGGAGGGGGAAGGGACGGGAAGAAGCAGGGAGGAAGCATTGACGCGGAGGCGGAGAGGCAGAAGGGGAGGTGGGGGGGGGGGCGGGGGCAAGGGGTGGTGCGTACACCGCTGGACAGATCGTAGAAGTTGAACGTGCGGCGGGGGTCGAGCCACTTGGTCTGCTCGGGCCAGAAGATACCGTGGTCAGCGCCACTGGAGGGATCCTCGTTGATGGAGCTGCGGATCTCGCGGCAGGCCTCGGCGATGGAGATGTCCAGGCTGAACTGCAGCGTCTTGGTGGACCCCATCTTGGGGATGGAGACACGGAGCGAAATCTTGGACATGGTGATGACCGGGCGACTTCTTTCTCGCTCTCTAGCGGCGCACACGCAGGGGGGAGGGCGGTGGGCGGCGGTAACTC